ATGGCTTCCAGGAGGTCCAACTTCCGCACAGTGCCGATCACCTCAGGGTCGCACAAATCAACCGAGGGGTGTCAACAATATGGGTTGAAATGCCATAAAACTACGACCCTCCGAGTTCCCACTGCTTCCAGGTCGCGGAAAAGTTGAGCACGCGGGTGAAGGCGACGATGCCAATCCTAAGGCCGCCAGTGGATTCCTATGCTTCTGGCTACGACTGTGAATGCCCCCCTTTGCAAGTGTTGGAGTGCTGAATCAGTGTAACGCTTTTTTTTGCATCCACGGATCGATCATATTGTTTAGACAATGCGAAACCAAATCAACTTGGGAAAGCAAACAAGAAACGGAGCCCGGGCTTCCGCTCGTAGGGCTGTCACTGTCGCAGATTCCCCAGTATAGGTATGTTATTCAGATTTTTCTCCCCTAAAAGTACCCTCCCGCGAGCTTTCTATCAGGGAGTTCCCCGATTAATTGGTTGGTAGATCTCCAAAGAAACCCTCCCGAAAACGAGAACAAAGAAACCTTATGTCCCGAACAAGGACTTGTCCGGCTGTCTCTTGGTAGATCTCCAAAAAAACCCACCTCAAAAAGAGAAAGATACACGGCGCCACTGGACAACCAGGAATCAGCATCCAGGCCAAAACCACGCCACTGCCAACCTGCCAAGCAAAGCTGGGCGAGCATGAATCTTTCGAATGTCCGGGCCATTTTCCATACCCTTTTTCAAGGTTAGCGCAAAGGGGAACGAAAAGCAAACCCCATGCTGGGGGTGTCTTTAATTTGACACATACCCAACATGTCAAATTGGCCTGTCCAAAACGATTTTAGGACTGTACAGATGGGCCCCTTTCTGTTAAAGCCTAACCTGGGAAGCGTTACTCCCATTCGACCCCCCTTGGCTTTGGGTCATGTTTTCAAGGCTCGGAGCAACACTGAACTACGTGTTTATCTCTGTTAGCGCTCTGTTGGCACTCCTTTAGAATCGATCCACAGCAAGCAGGTTGTTTCACAAGACAGGGGCGGGTGGATACCTTGATTTTTGCGAGGCAACACGTTGTGCTGTGGATGCAACCGGGCTTTGCTTGTTCAACAACCAATCGCGGAAGCTCACGGGAGTTTACTCTCGCGGAACGAACACCGGAACGCCTTGGGAACCCACCTGACTTCCCAAACAAATAAGATTGGAAAAATTGGAGATGGTCAGGACGTGGGAAACATGTGAGTCTCCTGTGGTTTGAGGGACATCTAGTGAGTTCCCCATGTCCCTCTCAAATGATCCAATTTGACAAACCCGAAAAAGGGGCCCTACAAATGGACGGGTCCCTGTTTGTAGGTCTTGAAGTTGGGGGTCCCCCCTATTTGGACACATACCCATCTTGGCCCACATCTGCAGCATTACAGACAATTATATGTTCAGAGTTCATCCATCTCATATTCGGTCAGCCGCCCAAACACATGCCTGAATCCTCCGTCTCCGGGTTATGTCTGCAGTGGTTTCCCTTCTCAGGGTTATTTCAAAGAGACCCGCGGCAAAAAAACAAGGAGTTTCAGGTGCTTCAACTGCATGAACCAAAAAGCAGGAGTGGCTTCCAAAAGGCAGGAGTGCAATCAAAAACTAGGAGTGGTTCTTGGGGGAAACAATTGGAAACAAGTCCAGTTGACGTTTTCGTTGTTTGGGCCTGCAATTCTACAACTCTGTACACCATCCCATGAATTATGCAACTCTGTGCACTTGAGTGGGTATTCCACTTCTGTTACTGAAAATGCGCTGTTCGAAAACTCTGTCTTTTTTTGGATTTGCCGGAGTTTGCGGGTTTTTGCGGGAGTTTGAAGGGATTTTGCGGGCAACTTGCGCTGAGTTTCAAGTGTGGTGATTTCCGGCTTTGCAAATTTGTCACCCAGAGGCTCAAATTTTGAGTAATTCCGAAATCTGAATAGTTCGGAATTCCAAAAAAATGATTCTGAGTGAACGAATCTGACTCTGAATATTTATGAATCGGAGGACTCCTTCTGTCAAGTAGAGAATGATTGCGATTTCTAAGGATTTCAGGTGTGCAAACAAATTTCCAGAAGTGTCAATTGTTTACCTCAAAAACTAGAAGCTTGAAAACTCTGTGTTTTTTCACTGAGACCCTAAAAAAGTGGTAGTCTCTGGATTTTGCGTCAAATTTCCATGATTTGGAAGGCCCAGGTAAACAGATTTGCGGGAGACCCCAGACACGGGGGAATATATGTGCGGGTTTTCCAGTATTGCTTTCCTGAAAACCCTCCAATCGCCGGCCTTTCGCGCTCCAATCGCGACCACAGCGGGGCCAATCGCGGAGCGGACTTGGTCACTTCTGCTCATCTTACCAGCAAACATGTAGATAATATTATAGATGTTAGCCCAATCGCGGCCCAATCGCCGGCCTTTCGCGATGCAGGCTTTACCAATCGCAAACAACAAACAAGTGACTGTAACCGAATACATAAATTGAAGATATTCAATTGCGGACAGCCCCCATGTGACGGCCCAAAACAGGCGCCTTAAAGATGATCACCTCATCGCAGAACCAGGGCGGAGACTTGGGGGTCGCTCGTTCCTCGTAGTCCTCCACCACGAACTTCAAGTAGACCGTGAGGCACCTGCCGGTTTGCCCACCCCCAAAAAAACGCAACCAGGTGTAGGAGCCCCTCGCAAAGACCCCCACCAAGGGTTAAGTGGTAATTAGGCAACTTCCTGCACATGTGTCCGATCTATCCAGAGTTATCTGCCCTACTTGGCCACCTCAACTTGGCTGCAAAGGAGTCGTAAGGTTGTAACCTTTCTAACCACGGGTCAGTAGGTTGTAACCCCATTTATATATCCACTTAGCTGTGGGAACGTGCAGACCCCCAAAAACAACCACCAAGGGGTAGCGCTCAATATACGGACTTCCTACACAAATAGCCGACCTATTTAAACATGAATCTACTTGATTCAATCGGATAATTGCTTTTTGCTAAAGATGTTACAGGTTGGGCCACTGTTGATGGACAGAATATTCTTCGCACAACTCGGTAGGTAGTTTGTCCTATCCATCCTAGGTTGCGCAGGATCTTGTCCATCAACAGTGCGGCCCCCTATATACCGGGCCATGAAGTCCTCCCAAGCCAAGCTCCCCTGAGACTCTCATAGACCCTTTCGGGGCAGGGTCCGACTCCTCTTAGGAACATCGGGCCTCAAATAGCTCCTGTTTAAACGCCCAAGCAAAACCCTGTCTCAGAACGCCAAGAACCTAAGAACCTCCTCTCTGGTGCTTTTGCCTTGTTGTTCAAACGAACAAAGGGAATGGGACGAAATGGGAACCCGGATCCATCCTACCAGGCGGGTGTTCCCACCCCCCAAACAGATCAACCAGCGGAAGCATTGAGTCCCAACGAAGCGACTTCTTTTCGGACCCATCGGCACTTCCGTTGCGCCGGGCGGCGCTGTAAGGAGCAAACCCAGCGCCGCGCAGGCGTGCTCTGACCAGCTGGAGGCCACCGGGTGACCCACCGCCGCGGCTTCCTGGGGCTTCAAAATCGAGTCCAAATCTTAGCCAATGCCACGCAAGCTGTAGGCAACCCTTCCCCATGTTCCTTCTAGTCTTGAATGGGTGGCTCCCTCATTTACCTACTTATACAAATCCAACATGGCGAAAGGTCCGAAGCAACACACTGGAAATAAGGGAACCCCGGGAAAAGGAGCTTCAGCTCAATCGCTGGCTTTACCCCTGATCGCTGACACCGATCATTTGCCCAGATCTCCGAGCCCTCCGGGAAGAGAAGGGTTTGAAGGGGAGCGATAGCTTTGCTTTGCAGGAAGCATCTGTGACAAATCACATCTGGGCAAATTTGAATACTTCTACCGACCAGCACTCCGAATGTTGCAAGGTTCATGAAAGCGCCAGGAACAATGTCAAACTCCCTTTTGCGGGCTGTAGTTCTCTCATTGTAAACTATTAGGAATCCTTTGTTGTGGTTTAACAAACAAAACCCAGCCACATCTATGGTTGCCTTGCAATTTCCTTGCCGACCACAGCACATTCGCTTTTGTCAAGCAGCCACAAGGGCAGAGAAGGGCGTCTCCTTCTGCGTCTCATTGGTGCGCTGTAGCTCCGCGTGCGCTTGCAGCAGCACACGACTCCCGGAGGCGTCGCTCGGCTTGCGGGCGTCAGACGCAAGGCGCGCCTCGCGCGCCGCGAGGGCCAGGGGCAAAGCCCAAAGCGATGGGCCGAAGCGCATGTCTCAAGCCATGGAGTGGTAAGGTTTAGTAAGATGTCGTGACTCGAGCCGAAAAGTCAAAGAAAAGATCTGGCAAGTACGGCATGGGTCAAGGTCCTGGGAAGGCACGAGAAACAGATTACTCAAAATGGACAGGGCGATTTTGCAGCCAATGCCGCGATGCAGCGCAAAATAACATGTCATGGTTCCATGCGAGAGCTGAAACTGCGTTCAAATGCTGAACATTCCAATCAGATTCTCCAGAGCTGAGTTTGATCCAAGGATTCTAGATCGCAAGCCCAGCTTCTGCAGGCACGGGTTGATTGTGTGTGAAATTTCAAGTTGTTGCAATCTGCAAAACGGTACCTGCACCTTCCAACTGCCATTACAGGGGCACCCCAAGTGCCCTTCTTGCGGGAAGGATTCCATGCCTTGGAATGTGCCGGTATCCATGATTTAAGCGTGGCCTCAGCTTCCCAAAGGTCAATGGTCCCTTGCTCATATAATACGTTCAGTGCGATATGTCATAATTCCCTCTAAACCCTACAAGTCTCAAATTTCAATGTGAGTCTAAGTGTATGTATGGCTGGTGAATTTCGTGTTTCTCATTTCTCGAGTGTTTTGACCAAACAATGTCCAAACTTGTTTTATTACTAAATAATATTACTGAACTGGTCTTCCAGACTGAAGTCCGGTATCTTAGACAGTATATGATCGCTTCCTTAGCTGTCAATGTCGACGGGGTTGCCTGCCATCGGGTGGTTGGTCGGGCCCCGGGCAGGTCACTGCCACCGTGTCGGGGCTCGCATCTCGGCGCCTGGACACAGCTCGGCTGCAGAAGTGGCTCGGAACTTCTCTTTTGGGTGTGTCAGGTTTTGATACTGTTGAAGGACAGAATCCAATTCGCACCTAGGGTGGATGAAAGCCCACAATCGCGCAAAAATCACCTACCACCTAGTGCCGCCAGAGGAACTTTGCGTGGCAGCTCAAGTGCTTCTTTTCTGAGGCTCACAACATTTCTTGAGTCGGCTTTCGTGGTCAGCGTTGACGATTGTAAAACACGCGACTGCTGAAGCAAAAGACTGCATCCCGCTCCACATGGCAACATGTCAATATGGTGAGGTCGCCAAAGCCCCTTTGTGTGAGGTTGAAACACATTGCCCACATAGTTGCCGCTCTTGAGCATGTATCTTGAAAGGCCAATACGCAACAGTGACTGGCAGGCTTCTTTTGGAAGGCTTCATGGGAGTGGGGGAAACATCGGATGCGCGAGCTACTTTTATCCCTGCTTTGAATGGGGTTCAATTTCCCAGTCTGGTGCATCCCTTGCAAGGACCATTTCCGTGGGTGAAAGGGTGGGCTCAGCTCTGCGCCGGGGCTTTACGCTTCGGGTTACTATAGGCAACCATGAGAAACCATAATACAACTAAAACTAGAGGTAGGAACCCTGGTTGCATTGTAAAGGTGGGCCCACTATATTTGCACTGCTCAATTTTGCTAGGTGTTGGGCCATGAAGGATCCTTGAAGAAAATGGGGCGGGTACAACTGAAATCCTGGGTTTTCCGGTGATTCCATTTGCCAGTACAGCGGGTAAAGGGAAGCCAGTAAAAAGTCAAGGAACATGTGGTGCTTACTATAGTTGTAAACAGGATCCAACGGGTTGCTGAGAAAAGGGTCCAAAGGGGTGTCTTAGAATAGGGGCCCATTAAACCAATCCAACAACGGGTACACTCAAACAAAACACCCCCGAATATTTTGGCAGGTACTTTGACTATCTTTGAAACCCCCTTTAAATCCCCACAACCTTCGTCAAAGGGTACAAGGGCCTAAACGAAGGCATGGAGTAGCGGTGTTCTTCAAAGACAGATTGACCATGTGTGTACTTTTGTTCGCCGTCCGGCCCTCCTGAGGGTACCCGCGGACCAAAACCCTCAACAACCAGCCTGAAAGGGTACCCAGGCTCAGGGTGTGAGACCGAAATAACTCAAATTGCTACTACAGAAAAGCGCATTCTCAACAAAGTGAAGAACGTAAGACCCCCAGAAATTCGCCAACCGATGGGTTTATTTTGCAACGCCTCAAAGCTGTCCGCACCAGGCCCACGTCACCGCGGCTGGCGCCCAGAAAGAGCTGCGCCTGGCCAGGAAACGTCCCGCGCAGCTTCGGAGCTGATATTCGCCCCACCCTAAGTTGGTGGTTGGACATTTGGGGGTGCCTTCCCCATAGGGCTCCAAAAAGAACTGGGATTCCAACCCCCAAATCAATCCAAACCACCAATTTGGGGGTAACTTGAATATGGGTGTATTGTTTGAGGGAACCCCTTTCACCTTGGTTTAAGGGAAGCCACAAGGAGCGCAGCAACATGCTTTTTCACTTTGTGGGTGTCGCGGTATGTTGACACATATCCACGTGGTGTCTGAAATTTTGGGGACCCGCCAAATGGCGGGCTTTCCCTGAACGTCACACAGGGTACCCTTGTACACATACGCCTTGACTCAGTGGGGTGGCCAAAACCCAAGAGTGCAAGGGAAGAAGAAGGGGGAGATAGGGCTGGCAATGGACAAGCCATCTGGATCCTCCCAAACGAATCGTCTGCGAATCGAGTCATCCGTGCCTGGGCAGTGAGCCTGGCAGCAAGGGGCTGACCCCGCCTTCCATGATTTCACTTGTATGCATGGGAACACGTCTGACCAGTGAGTTTCGGGGGGACTTGAGCCCTGTAGCTCCCCAACTGCTTGAGGATGTTTAGCATCCCAGCTCTTTGCCTCCCCAACAAGATATTTCACCAAATGTACATGGATGTAAACCATACTCATCCCCATGCCTATATTAGCACATTGGAGGGGCTTCCCTTGAAATCGCAGAAAGTGGCACTGAAAGGCCGCTGCCATCGAAGAGGAGTCTCACTCAAAGGCAAAGTGCCCTATTGCGCAGGAGGGTGACCAAAAACATGGCTGATCTGCTCAATCAGGAATCCTTAAGTATACGGACCTTCACAGGCTGGTTATAGGTGGGCTAGGAATTTCTGGAAATCGGTCTTTGTCTTTGCACATTCGGCCATCCTTACATGGTGGCTATTGCTCCCTGCGCAAAAAGTTCATCTGTTTGTGGGGTAGTGGAAAAATGCACAATTCTCGAACGTTGAAGGTCGAAGATGCAACCAAATTGCACCCAAGCTTCTTGTCCGTTGCCCGCATAGCTCGCTTGCCACCCAAATGTGGCCCACGGCAGTGGCACGTCTTTTTCTGCCGCGGGCTCTAGTGGCCACTTGAAGGGCCGCTCATGCAACGCGTCTGAATTCGGGATCCCTCCAAGCGGCTAAGCCTAAGGGAAGGTCCCCAAGTTGAAACGTGTGCTTGCAATTGGGACCAAATTGGGGTACTTTAACCAAATGGAGTCTTGGTCATGAGATAATGTCCGTAATTGTTCAGTCCCTCAAATCTTGCAAGCTGCCGCCACCACGCTATCCTTTCGCCTGTCGGAGTCTTAGAGAAAGCAATGGTGCAACAATGATTGCTTATGTTGCCCCGGACCGAACCACGGGCGAGGGGAAAACGAGGTTATTTTCCAGTGTCCTCCAAAAAGCAAGAGAAGACCAGACGTTTTACCAGTTACTCCTCGCATGGTTGGGGGTACGTTAACCGAAAACACCATGGTTTGCAGGGTTAACCCTGAATACGTGCAGCAAATGATGTCACCTTTGTACTGCATTTCTTTGGCTAGCAATGACCGGGGCGAAGGTAGACGAGAACCAAAAAACAAGGACATCGGCATCCTCTGAGTTAAGTTTGTCAAAACCCTTGCTGTGATGAGTGTTTGGCTAGTTTGCCGCAGAAATTCCAGGGTCTGGCTTCTATGAAGCCGCACACTTGAGAGGTTGCCCCACTTGTTGACACACATCTGGGATATATAAACCGATTGCGTTCTGACTCTGATTCATAGTTAGTCTGTCCTATATAGCATCATAGTTTTGGAGGAGATCCCAGACTTGAAGATCAATCCGACTCTACCCATCTATCTCGTCTGCCATGTCCGCCATCATGTCGCGCATGGCCGCTTCGATGCCTTTGACGCTGTCCGGCAGCGCCGTCTTGCCGAAGGGGCCGCTGAAGGGGGAGTTGCGGGCGTTGCTCACACCGGCCTCACCAATGCAGGCTCAAGGGTTGGCTCGTCAAAATATGGATTTAGACCCCAACATGGTGGCTTTTGTTTTGGCTCTCTTTGAAACTAACCCCAAAAGGGGGGCCGTTAAAAAAACATACAATTAGAAGGACCACCATCCCAGTCCTCGTTCAGATTTGCTGACCTTTGCCTTCAATCACTGAAATCAAGCCTTCCCGAGGTGAGTGCCAATTGTGCCAAAGGAGCCCTTTGCCCCTCAGACGTGGTCATGGTTCAATCATGCTTAAATATCACCTGAAGTAAAGGGGGGCAGGGTGCTTAGTTTAGTGACCAGGGTGCTGCCACCAAGTCCCTTGTTTCTTTAGGCAAAGGGAACCCTTGCTAAACGACGGCACCCTGGAGTCCCCTGGATTGGACCGGTCCTTTCGGTGGGTTGAATAGGATGGGAGGGCACCCAGTTTTCCATGGAAGTGGGCGTCGGGCCTTCCATGATATTGAAAAGAGGGTAAACCTTCAATGGTGGCTTGGGTTGGTGGTTTGGAGGTTGTCCCCATGGATCTAGACAGCGAGGGTCAAACCCACAAGACGACTTGAACAACTGGTGTTTACCTTGTGAAGCCTCGACTACAGGTGTATCAACAAGAGACACCGAAAAGGTCAGCTGCTCTCTTTCAGATTCACTTGGACGCCAACAAACCAATACAGTTTTGGGGCAATTTTCATAGCACCCTTGTCATGCTGTCTCATCCAACTCCCTGAAAAACAATCGTTGAAGCTTCTTGGCCCCCCCTGACTAGTCTTCCCAGGGTTCCTCTTCAAACATATGTAAGGAGGTATGCATTTGTTGGCTTGCCAAATGCAATTTCCTCTGAGGTGCGCATCTGACACCCTGCCGAGTCGAGCTGAGACTTGGGCAGACAAAGGGAGAATATTACTTCGTATATTTCCGAAGTACAAATGTTTGTCGGCTGTTGACGGGCAAAGGCAGAGTGCAAAAACGATTGATAAAGAAACGCAGCAAGTGTTGGCTGGTAATTATTTAATGAGTCAAACGTCGCACACCTTGTGCAAGTCGGTAGGATTCTAAATGGCCAGTTTCCAGATCAATGATTTCCAGTGATTATCTCAATCAAATCAGAGAACCATCCAGTAACAGGCGACCAAGTCGCATCCTCCTCGCTGCTCTCCTCATCCGAACTTCCATTTTCGGTTTCCTCATCATCGTCTTCCTCCTGGCGAGTGTCAAAATAGGAGTTCCCCAAAACAGGTAAAAACCACTGACTTCCTTTTGGTTTCCCTTCAAACCAACACGGAAACAGGCACCTCAGGCCGCGAGATTCCGCGGTGGGGCGCGCTGTGGAACCCAGGATTGAGGGTGTGTGCTCTTTTGGAAAGGATCCTCAATTCACCGGGTTGAAATCCGGGGCCGACAGGAGGCAAAAAACACAACTAATGTACCCTGAAAATGTCCCGATGTTTCCCTCGCTGCTTGCCAACCAGTAAACTGACACATGCATCCACATCCCATTCTAACTTCTTCAGGCGCTGGTGCATTTCTGGCTGAATGAGCCCCAAAGACTCACTGACCTCTACGAGGCAAAAAGGGTACTTACCCAGTATAAAGTAGGTTGGTAACCGGGAACCAGCATGTATGAGGGGACGTACAATTACCCTGTTACTATCACTATTTTTAGGAGGGACACAACTATACAGTATATTCATGCTTCTAGGCAAGAAGTCCAAAAGGGACAACCCTCATCTACCCACAAGTCTATTTGCAGGGCTGAGGTTGGGCTTCTGGAAAGTCGATGGAGTGCGGAAACAAAAACCTTTAGATAACCCCAGTTTGACTCTTGTCAGATCTCAGTTGGATTGAGGGAATGACCCCAAACATCACCGTCCCTTGTAGTTTCAGTTGAGGGGCCCCTAGCCGGTTCATCCCCTGATATTCCCTACTGAGAACGAGCACAAAAAAAATCCCATAGCGGGAAAAGCCTTACCCTTCCATTCCACCCCACAGGATGGGTTCTTGGAACCTTCTTACCAGGCCCGACTTAGAAATTCTGTTAGCAATGACTTTTAATGGTCGAAAGCAGGTAAAACGAAAAGGCTAAGTCTGACAACGCTGGGAAGGGGGGCCACATATTTCTCCCTATCCCAGAACCCGTCTTCCCAAAAACTGAACAACTAAAGTTCAGTCTTTACCATTAAAAACGGTCTTACAAGCAAGATCTAAAGTCCACGAACTGGGAGCTTGATGCCGATTGCCCCCCTCCGAATAGGTGCTCTTTTCTGGTTGGCAAGAAAACTATGACTCTCCTTCTCCCCAACTATTCAGAGTCTAAATTCAGCCCAATAGCATTCAAGTGGGAAAGCAAGGAGATCCCAGACTATGGGCTACAATGGCTAAATGCCGTACAAGCCACACGACCGGGCACCTAGGGAAAATCCAAGTAGCCCCCCAATTGGGGGCGATTCTGCACCCATCCCACCACCGCTCCTCTTCCGCATGTTTCCCTCGCACCAACTCCATGGCCGCCGCAATCCCCGCCGCCGACAGCTGCACCCCCAGCTCCGGCGGGTAGCCGTCGGCGCGTTCTTCGCGGGCCTGGCGCGTATAGCCCAGGCGTTGCTCAGACGAAGTCAAGACATCTGAGTGCTCGTTTCACCCATTGACTTTTGGTTCTACCATTCGGGATCGACATGGAGTGACATTAATCCCCACCAAAGATGCCCACGATTAAATTCACACCCGAGTGGTTGTAAAGATCTTGTTGTGCCTTCCTACAACATTATTTATGAGGCCGCACTGGGTTGGTCAAAATGGGGAGGAATGCCTATTCAAAGTCTGTGACCCTTGCTTGGGACACCAATACAACAAGGGAAACCACTACCATGTTTTGAGCAACCCAGTTTTCTGCTCGTGTGCCATCAGAGCCAAGCTGCTTGTTGATTGCTTATTGGGATGTCAACCCGATTAAATCAAAGCTAACGCATTCCGTCTACCAACCATGTCATGTTTTCCTTTGGGACTGTTTCGCTGGAAAAATGTGGGAAAGGGGGTCACCTCGCTTTGACCTTGGGGGTGCCGGAAACAAACACCTGCAGACTCAGCAGGCCGAACACGGTTCGTTCTAGGATACCTCGCAAAACCACCTGCCTCAAGCAAGGGAATCTTCTAAACCAAAAGGTAATTATTTGGGGTGATGTTTCAATTGGCTCACATGTATCCTGCAAGGGGACCCTGGCAGGAACAACAAACAACTGAGATCCAGTGTATGGGGTTTGAGATAAGACCATTCCCCCACAAACCCTCACCTGAGCATAAACAAAGCTCTCATCTTGTCTCAAAATAAGAATTAGGCCGCCAAGATCAAATAGGCTGAAAACCTGGCTTGGAGCATGGGGTGGGCAGAAAAGCTAAGTAAAGCGGGTGGTCTCGAATGTTCCCTCATCCCTACCCCAAGCGACCAGGAGCCGGTTGCTCCAGATAGCTTTTAGCAGAAGTGATCAATCTGGATAGCTTCAGGAAATTGATGTGGGCCCGAGCACTGAGTCAATGGCTTGTCGTTTCGCCGTTGGTTCCGTTCAAGCATCTTCCGGGTTCCTCAAACATGTGGCTTTGTTTCAAATTAAAGGACCCCAAGCAATTGCTTTTTTGGATTCCCTATTATATTGAACCGTCAAAATGATTTCTGGACCGGTAATTCTGGCTCAATCAGCGGCCTGAAACTTCATTGCTGTCGGTTCACATGTAGGTCCGTATATAGATTTATGTAGATGGGTCCATGCGGATTCCCACAAAAGGACACCTGACCGGCATGAATATCAGCGTGCTTATATTTCCCTGAGTGGCGGCTGCAAACATCACCTTGTTGGCCCATAAAAAGTGAATTTCCCTTGGTACGGCTGATGCTTTAAGGCGGAATACTGGAGAGCTGTCGACATCCATTCGATCGGTGGGAAAATGCGATGAACGTTCGGCGCCTGCACCGCGCGCATCATCACCTCACAGGGGTCACTGGATCTCCTCTTAAGTTGATCAATGGAGTAGTGGGGTTCATTACAACTGCCACTTTTGGTGGCTAAGGCTCCGCAACCTCTTGGAAGGGAAACCACAGAAATCGATTTTGAGAACCCAGCTTCACCTGAGAAACGTCCTGCCTCATCCTGGCACCTGCGGCAGGTGCACACGAAGCCCCAGCTCTTCCAGAGACTGGCCACGCGCTCTGGCAGCGGTGTGGAGGGCGACACCTGGACATTCCCGCTGGTAGCAGAAGGGGACATTGGATTGAGATATCAACAGAAAGTGCTGCCCAAAACCTGACCCTCGAGCCCTGTTGAGCCCTACTTTGACCTTAGTTTGGCTGATGTGTTGACTACATGCTGAAGGGAAATGAAAGCTTAACCTTGTGTGACGTTGAGAAAGAACGGACCAAACTAAACCGAAAGGTCAAAGGGTGGCTTCGGACAAGCAACCAAAAAGGCCAGCCTTGTTGCACCAACACAAGCTCTGACGCATGGGAACTTAAACGCACATGTTTGTATTTGGGGGACTTGGAGAGCCACTCGAGAAGGGCAAAGTGACCTCAAGAGAAAAGGAGAAACAGCAGGGATCCGGGGGCAGCAGGGATTGATGGGAGCTACCAGTTGATTAAAAGGAAATTAGCGATTGGACTTACATTTGTTCGACCCGGACCAACTGTTTGCAACTCTGTGGCACACACCTCAAGCGCAGAGACAAATGACAAATTAAAGCGATACAAAAATCGGCCCCCAATTTCAGGCAGAAACGGGGAAGCGTCCCTGAGGGGATCCCTGTACATGTATGCGTTATCTCTCTATATATAATATATATTTATACTTGCGTATCTACACCGAATATACTAATAAATAGGTAAATATGATGCTACATAAACCTATGTTTTGTCTAAGCCAGGAGAAGAATAAGATTCACCTTTCGAGACGCGCAAACGTATTCTAGCTGTCAGGGCTGGAAGCACGCCTCACTCACCCACAGAGAATCGCAGCCTTCCACTCAAGCAGCACGAGTCACCGTAGACTATGACAGGTAAGCCATTGCCCACACCAAGACAGCAAAGTCTTACTACTGAAAAGAAAATCTCGGCTACGTGTCACCCAATTAGGTGCCAAGACACGTAGGCTAGGTTCAGCTCTTCTCCCTCCTTGATGTCGCGGAGGGCTACCATATCCGCCAGGCATCCTTGTATGCGCAACATGCGCCAAGGGTCCTGATGGAATGTGGGGTTCTATGTACACTTTTGAGACCCTTAAAGAAATTCGGGGTGTGTTGCGGGGAAGTCTAGCAAAGCTCTGTCCGCTCCGTTTGTCTGCAATGCTCAGCCAGCAAGCACTTGATTTGGAACTAGAACAACTACTGGGCTCTGCGGCACTCCACACCCACCATGGTCGCAACAACGCACCCAATCACCAACACAGCAGTGAGCAACTCAGGAGTAAGGACCGTCTTGATGACTGAGGTTCACAAAGCCAAAAAATACGAAGGTTTTTGTAGGCGGCCACCTCACGGGAAAGCGGTTGGCCCAAGCCGCCTTGCAAGACTGAAGCGTAGGGAATCCGCCCATGCACCGTGCGCGTGACCCGTACAGTTAACTCAGCCTGTGAAAAGGGCTGCCATACCCTGACATGCACCCAGTTGCCTGAGGCATGAAACATTTTGTGTTTGTCCGGTTTGGACCGTTTCCTACAGAAGTGCCTCGGACAGTTGCTTCTGGCTCCAGTTTGCTTGTCTCGGGTCCTCTACATAACTGATCACGCAAACCAAACAATCCTATGATCAGTACACATTGCTTTCAGCTGTGAGTCGTATAAGACCTAAGGTTGCTGTGAGGATATGTGCTATGCTGCTATGTGGTCTTGCCATTGTTCGTAGACCGCCTGGTTCAGCCTCCACATAACGCCTTCCTTTTCATTGGTTTAAAACTCTGCAGGTGGTTGCATGATCAGGTTGCATGCAATCGTTGCTGCCTGTAGGAAAGCAACTCTGACGTCTCCTGCGCAAACTGACCATTTGTACACCAACGCCATTGTGGGAAGCGCTCTCAGTATGCAAAACAAAAGCGTGCTGGCAAAGATAGGTCAATGTCTGTCACCTTCTCTGTGAAGCCTTTTGCTACCACACAGTGACACATGCCCGTACTTCTTTTTGTGTTTGTCTGAGTTTGCAGAGGGGCTCCATGATGTTTGCCTTGTTGTTGTGGTGTCAAATTGTGTCCATCTACTTCTGTAAACCTTCCTTGTCCTTTCATCTGCTGCATCTGCCTCTTCATTGCTCTTGCAACCTGTCGTGGATCCAGACCCTCGGTGTTGTTGATGATTCGTTCTAGTAGGATCCTCTCGTTTCCTATTTCCTGTGGATCCTCATTAGATGTAGACTCATGTTGTTTGCCATTCCATTTTGTCGACTTGATGTGATTTATCCTCATCTTGCCCTTGGGTTGTTCTCATGTTGGAGGTCGCTCCATTGTCCGCGCTGTGTCCTGCCTTAAGTCATGCGGTTGCTGATTGCTCAAAGATTATGCCCTCTGTAATTACAGGTACAAGGGTCCGTTTTGACCATACCGAGAAGGAACAATCACTTGCAGGAATTACCAGGATCAGACATCCCCAAGCTCGTGCTACTTGCGTTCAGCTAGTTTCTAACTAGTTAGCACAGAAGGCATGTTGCCCAAGCATCCGTCGTGGTAGCGCATGGTGAAGTTGGGCATGCAGGAATGGTTCGAAAGCGCCACGCACGGGTACAGGGCGCTGCCTTCAAACCTTCCGCATGCGTGTCGATTCGCACCATGTGGAACGATGCTTGAGCACATGAGAACCAAAGGCCACGCCCAGCCCAGGAAAGGCTTGGAAGGAATCTTCTTAGAAGGGATGCTTCAAGGCGTCTGAGAAACTACCTTTCTGAGGGTTAGCGGCTCCTAATGTCTCTCCTCACCCCCATGTCTTTCCCCTTTGTCTCTTTTTTCGTTGGTTGATTTGCAAGGGACACCCACCCCCAAAAAAGGAAAACACATGCCACCACGGCAACCAACAAATTCCTGTGGTGGCCCTGGCGGTCTCCTTGAGGGTATTCAGCATCAAGTTCGTGTCAAACGGAAAGAGAGTCAGCTGAGCTTTGGGGCAGAGATGCATCCAGGTTACCAGGTTGCAGCATTAATTTCGTGGCGGTTATGTGTTTTCAGTTGGCACCTTGATCTGCCGATATCGGGATGATAATATCGATCCAAGAAAACCCAGGGCAGGACGCAATCTGAGCCGTTGACTTCTGGGAAAACGGTCCTTTTTCCAGCAAAGTGAACCACTTGCAGGGGATCATTTTGACCACCCCCTGTTGTGGGGTGATGCTTGATAGGGACACAAAAGTGATACAAAAGGTAGTCATGATGTTCACCGTGGTATCACAGAAAGGATCAAGTCCAAGATACATCTGAGATGTCACAGCTTTGGAATTATGGGCTAAGATACAAGGAGTAGGGGGCTTCCAATTTTGGAGACAAACAATATCCTTTTGCGAGGGCTCCAAAGCGTGGTTGTAAAACGCAAATGCGCCAAAACCTGCCCAAAGTTGTTCAAGCCGCCTGGGCAGTGCGAAGGGCTCACTTGCAGCTTCTTTGTGTACCGCAGTGGTCTCCGGATTCTCCGGCTGGTCTGCCCCATCGTCGTCCGAGGAAGCCGCCTTCACCTGAGGGCCGAGCTGATTTTTGTTTTTATTTATTTTTTGACCAACCTCCTACTTCAAATGCTTACTTTTTGGTGTTGGGTATCATGTAAATCCTTGACAACAAACCAAGGCAATCACCATGAACAAATTGAGTTTTGCTTGTCCAACTGATGGATATTTCGCGTAGTTCGGGGGAACATGCTTCCAAACGCGTGTTGTTTTGTTGAGGAAACCCATCGGGTTGTTCCCATTGTGACAAGGTTGTTAAGACAAACCAAACAAATGATCTTGCCAAACCCCGAATGAAGCCAGGTAGAACTACTGATCAACACGGCGAATACGAATCGATTTTGGGCAAGTCTCAGCATGGCGTGTCATTTTCCAACAGCGATAGCTATGGGGTCAACCTTGGGGCGGCCCTCGGGTTCTGTTAGATAAAACCGTCATCATGCAGTGAGATCGCTACAAGTTGCTTCTGTCACCCCCTCCCTTGCCGTTTGCCAGCATAGTCGTGAAAACAAGCAAGTCTTGTGGTATTCAAATATAGCCAAAAAATCAGCTGGTACTTGAAGTAGGAGGTGTGCTGAAGTGACCGGTCACTTTACATTTACATAGATAACCCTTCTTCTGGCAGCTTCAACATCGCGGATGCCCTTCAAAGTGACAAGCCAGTCAAATGAATGGGAACTTGTTTGAGCGACGGATTGACATAATGCCCTCAAACACGCGAGCAGCACCCGAAGCCCGTTGAAGCTTAGTTTCAGCAACCTGGTCCTGCAGGTTTATGTATCCCTAATTATAGCCCCATGAAACCAAGTAGTAGAACCACTAACGTGTTTTGTGGGCACTGTCGATACATACTGGGAGGGGCAGGTTGCATCGAGTCGCCTTCTGAAGCGCCTCCTGACACGCTCGCAGCAATCCCCCATACTTCTGGCTGAACTCCTCGTTCTCGCAGATCTCTTGGAAGCGCTCGTTCAACGGGTGCTCGATCCTCACACACCACAGTACACAGCTGGGTTCAGTAACCCAGACCTTGAGTGGCCGTGGGAAAAACGGGGTAAGCCTTTTTACAATACTACAAACACCCCCCCCCCAAACACACCACCCTTCGGGACAACCAAAACTGGAGGGGTGGTTGAGGTGGTAGTATTTGGGGGGTGGTAGAGGTACTTTCTACATCCTCACCGAACGTGGCACTAGGAGTTGGGTTCAGGGGCGATTTGGCGTCTCGCCCTTCAAGGGGCAGGGTACGTCATGCAAGTGGTGAGGAACCAAAGTGACAACCCATCCAAGCAATGGGTCTGTGTCGCCTACGTGGTTTGACCAGATTTAATGACTCGATCACACCTTCAAGCTAAGTCAAAATCAATATCTGGTATAGGAGTCTAATGCAGTTATATACAAGGTGGACAGCACCTGTTGATGGTGGGAATAAAGCCTAGTTGAATGAAAGGTGAACATTTTATTGTGCAAACCAATAGTGGGAAACCAAAAGGCCAGATCCGTTCGAATCGCTTTGGCCTACCGAAAAGCCCATGGGGCGGCACCCGGTGTTGTCCCTGTCTTCATTACTCTCTTTCCAACGGAACGCTTTGGCCGAGCAGCTGCACCCAAACGTTGGACAGGCAGAATTGGCCCACCAGGTTGGAGTAGTAGTCCAGCGATAGCAGCTCGGACCAGCGCCTTGCAGTGCTCATTATAAGAGCTTAGTTGTTTCCACCTGACCATGGGACAATTAGTAAGTCCCCCATGGTTATTGCGGTAGACTTAGTGAGTTCCCCCAGCATAGCTGTCGCTGTTGGGGGAAGGCTGTGGCATTACTCACACTGACTGACCGAGCAACCAACGCACTGGCCGACCGACTGAGTGTGCATTCAGATTCGCCACCCCCTTGATTGAACATGTTCAAAACACTTTTGAAAAAGCAACCTCCTTTTAGTTCCCCTCAAAGGGCCCGTCAGGATATAAATTGCCCCCCTGGGCTTCCCGGCTCCTCCCACAAAATCGCCACCAGGAGCTCCAGCGATGCCAACATCACCTGTCCAATCTTCGCTTGCAGGCCGTGGTGGTTCCCTTGAAAGGAGCCCTCACGGTTGTCTGGAGGACTTCAACAACCAGCTGATGGCTGAGAAAGGAATCTCTGAAGAAATGAGGTCGCTTCGGATCCCAACCATTCGAAAACCCTTCAGTATGCATGGCCAGGGTGTTGGGTGCTCACGTGATGCTGCTCACTCCCCCCATCATCGCCTGCTGGCGTTGCTGCTTGCGTCCCTGGGCGATCGCAGCCAGCTTTCCACGCACCGGGCCCGCCTGCGCTGAGCACTTCGAAGCCATCAAATGTTGCCCCGGACAGTGTTATTCAAGCGGACATGGACAAATTGGGGCCTGGTTTGCCTGGTGTTGTGCCTCTCTTCTCGTCCTCCCAAACCCACAGTAGGCTGATGTCCAATCATTTTGTCAGCTGCTCAATATGGGTATGTCAAATAGGGGGGTTTTCCTGTTGGTCCCCTAAACCAACCTGAGCAGGGTACCATCACAATAATATGAAGACAGAACAACCAGGTGCCCGAAGATCAAACACAGTGGGTTGACAGTCAAAAGGTTGGCCAAGGTACTCCAACATCCGCTTTACGAGACAGCGTTGTGTTTCTCCAGTCTGAAACTGAAGGGGTATCTCAAATGAACAAAACATGGTCTCGGCAGTGTCATCGATCCATTATGTTACTCAACTAAAGACTGGGTCAAAGCAATACACGCGACTTGCTGCCGGGGGAATTCTACACGGGCTGGACTCAAAAAGACTCCCTTTCCCTGGTTGAATTCACGCAGGGTCGCTCCACAGACTAGATATGGGCTTGTCTCAAGATGGTTAAATCAGCCCCCACAGAGGGTACCGTCAACAACAACACCCACATTTCGCTGGTGAAACAGCATAAAAAGCTGCCCGACTTCCTGGCGACTCCCCACTCACACAATGTTTTGCATGTTGGTCGTCTTGGTGAGGAATATTCAAGGTGAAACCATCCTTTCCCTACATTCCGTGATGTCTGCAATCGGAAGGGTCCCTCTGGGGGTACGCCCCTTCCATTCAGTACTCGGCGGGGATGAATGTGAAGTTCAAATTGACATGGCGTGACCTTTGGGAAATCCAAAGGTCAAACAACAGGGCAAAACTAAAAATCAAAGATCATTGTGAGAAATCAAAAGGTCAGATCCGCTGGAGTGAGTCAAAGAAATCGACTTCCTGCCTGGCACATGGACAGTGAAGGCAAATTCTGCATGTTCAGCCAAGACATCTTCCTCGGTTCACAGTAAGCCCCAAGGTCGCCAATCTCGGCAGTTCTTGCTCACAAACAGCCGTCGCCATGGGTCGAAACACGCCACGAGTTCCGGAGATATGACTTGCTTCTCGAGAATCATGCCAGAACATTGGGCTAAGAAATTGGGGGGGGGTCCCCCCATGTCATCCTCCTCAAAAAATGAGGCCCATTCCCCCCCTCCCCCCAGTTCAGTTGACGTGGAATTGGAAGGTTATCCTCCAAACTTTGCGTTCTGGCGGCCGCAAAGCCATGTGAGGTCTTCCCTGGGTGTCGAGAAGATGGTGTTCAATGAATCTCAATATTTATAGAGCTGTTCCCATCCCCGCCACCCACTCAAACCCCCCTCATTTGGGTCCAAATCTGTCAAACACGCAAACACCCACGGGGAAAAAAGAAAAACCGCGGGTCCAGGGCTCCACGACGCAACTTTACCGAGTCCGCGCGGCATGAAGCGGCTGAAGTAGGCCATGGCCTCCCAAAGCTCCACGTCGCTATACTTCACCAGCGAGATGACCTCCGCGATCACCTGCCACAAGTCTGGCCGCGAATCGCTTCGGTCGAGTGCGTTGGAAGGGCTTCGGGATCAAAGTAGATGGCACAATTGCCTTGCTGTCAAAGAGGACGACTGAACATCAATTTTCACCCAAGTGTAAAAAGGGGGCAAATGAGCAGTTGCAGGGCGGAAACAACCTTGAGTCTCCAACCCCGTTTGGAATTCAGTGCCCGTTAGATGGCTTGACGCTGGGTACGAAACAGACTATGACTATCAGCTCTTTCAGCCACTGCAGGAATATATAGTGCATGCATTTCGGATGGTGATGTTCGGTGCGGACCAGATTGAACAAATTATCCAAGCCCAGTTGGCTTGCTTTGGGGGAAATTAACATCTATGTTCTATTAGGGCGATCAGCTGCACCAGAATCCTTCCCCTCTCCCCCCAAACAAATAGCAACCGCTCCTGCTTAGCTCAAGCTTGCTTGGAACTTTGTGAAGCACGAGCAGTTGCAGTTTGTAGAGGGGCTTAGACGAACTGCACGTGCAAAGGCGAATGCCCGTGTGCCCGCACGCATTTACGACTTGTGGAAGATTCTCGAGGAATTCCAAGCTGAAGTCCTCCAAGAGCTGCCATATGCATGGCATTGCGCTTTCTTGTTCATATACAAGAAAAAGGTCATCTCTGGACAATATGTGGCAGCTTTGGCTGAGAACACACAGCACGAAGAACTGCTGAAACTATAATTCCCAGACCGCTTGCCGTCTCTCTGGTCCTCTGTGCTCCAGGCGGTAGCACTGTATTTGTCGCCCATGAAGTTCCGTTTTCCGCGCAACAAACACTGATGATTGAGCGCTTCTTGCAATGCTTGGTCGCAAAAAAGGCGGAGTCGGCTTTGCAACGGCGTGGCCTATGCGGGCGACATCTAGTAAGTCGTTGATGCCCCTCATCGTAAGCACATGAAAGTTCTTCGTTCACTGTTGCACCGAAGAAGATCGAGTGAAAGAGTACTTTGAAAGTGAAAAGGGGGTTGGAGGGTTTGGTGCTTTGTGAGTAGCTGAGTTGCAACCACCAGTTCAGGGTTTGAGAAGCCCAAGCCTGCGATTCGATTTCTTTCGGCTTCCGATCAAAAGCCATCCAACAAGGCCCCGACCTGCAAGGTTCACCATCTGGAACTGCTTTTTCCCATGCCCTAACCCGTGCCGTCAAAGCGATAGTTGGGAGGTACTGGAAAGGGAAAATAACAACAGTTTGAGAGGCCGACTTTGGACAACTCATGTTTCAAATGCCATGAAAGCACGCAGGACCTCTGAAAGGGCTGCACGGCACCCCTTCGCAACCGAAACCGACACCGGTCAAAAGCCAGCTTCTAATCATTCTCCCAACAATTTAAAGATTCAAGATCAACTCTAAGAGCAGCCAAGCAAGGGGTTGGACACGCCAAAGCCGGTCGAGTCAATGGCTTCTCCACCTGGGCAGCTGCGGTGAACTGCTCGTGGTACTTGGCCGAGTACTGCTTGAAGCACTTCCTCAGGGCCAAGTTCGAAACACCCCCCCAAAAAAAAAACGTGAACCTGAAAACATACCCAATCTAAACCCTGGTGGAAAAAAAGATGGACTCTTCCCAAACTCCATGGCAAACAAAATCAACACATCGTACGAAACATGTAGCAACACAAGTGAGTTGTGCCTGACCCGAACGCGGGACAGCCGAGAAACAATCAAAACCAGGTATTGAAAGCCCTTGTGGGTCTACCAAATTACCCCAGCCTCGACCTCAACAGCACGAAAGCAAGACAGGACAACGTCTCCAGGCGTGGTACACGCGACGACTAACTGGTGTTAGTATGATTCGGAAGACAAAAGGAGACAAAACAGGTCGGTGCCGCAGCATCTGGCAATATCTGGCATCAAGAGGGAGACAAGAGGGAGACAAGAGGGAGACAAGAGGGAGACAAGAGGGAGACAAGAGGGAGACAAAAGGGAGACAAGAGGGAGACACGAGGGATACAAGACAAGGAGCCGGCGTCAAAAGGAGACAAGCGGAGACTATCTGAGCCTTCATGTGACCGGCGAGGCTGGGAGACAGGAAGACAAGTGGAAAACATTGGAAAACACGACCCTTGAGCTTGCGTCACACTTTCCCATTCTTTAAACCTCAAGTTAGAACCCCAATGCTTCGCTGTTTGGGGAAAAACCAACGGTACGGAATCAAGGATTGAACGTTCGCAACTTTTACGCCAGGAACCCTTTCTGGTGGGTGTCACGGGACACTACCCCCAGATGTTTGCCCCGTGCGCGTGCGCCGGCTATCGTGACACATACCCGTGTATCTTGGTGTGGTGCCACGGACCACGAGTCAGCGAGTCCCAAGTTGGTCGAGTTGCCAAACTTGCCGCTGCTGAGGGGAAAGGTCCGTACACAGCACCCGGTGCCAGCCCTCGGTTCTCCTCAGATGTGCAAATGAAACTAGAGCCGCCCTTGACGAGGGCTTCCACTACCCCTAAACCACTACCTCCCAGGAAGAAAAACAGCATACCCTTCCCCTCACGATCGTGTACATGTTGGCCACGAATCCCTTTCCCCCGGTTCGTGGGTTTAGTTCAACAAACAGAAGGAAATAGGCCAGTCACTGTCACATGAAACCAACCAAGAAGGCTTTGGGGGTCTTTGAGCGGCTGGGGTCCCTGAACTGAGGCGGGCGCATTATCCGTGTTCTCCCGGAGTCTGTGACTCTGGGGAAGGCTTGCCCAACTTGAGCAGTGGTCCCATGGTCTTGGCCAGACTTTGACCCGCTGAACACCGTTGTAACTGTTTGCTGGTTGAAGGGCCTGGCAATGTGGCGGGGTTCCTTTTGGCTTCCCTTCACCAAGTTGCTCAATGGATCTGGAAACAAAAGGTCGGCCTCAAACCAGAATGGTACTTTCAAGCCAAAAGATCATTATTTGCCAACACGTTCAAGTAGTTACAAGGCTGGGTAAAGACTGAAATAAACCCAAACAAGCAAACCCAAAGCGGGTGACCAAGGATGCCATGCCAGCAAAGGGAGCGATGAAAAGCTACTGAGCTTCGTGGTCATCACCATCACTTCTTCTGCAAAACCTGAAACAAGGGATCCCCATGCAAAGCAGCTAGATCATGGTGAGCCAGCTTTAGCCACAGGTTAGCGGTTGCCAAGTTCGAATCAGTCTCCGGACTTCTGAAAATCGCTTGACATGGAACCTGACAGAACCCTGGGGACCTTGTCTGGATACGGGATAATTACGCAAATCCTTCGTCAACCAGTGTTTGTAATTCTTGATGCGATCCGTTTCAGGTTGAACCAAAGTAAGAAAAGCAACACCATTTTGGGAAGCCCCTCATTCTGACCGTTTCCAACAGGGAGGAACCCAAACCAAAATGGGAATTCGGTTCCCTTGTGAACATTCTCAAAACGTCAACCCTCAACATCCCCCCCCCCCCCGTGAAGGTTAGCTAAGCCCCCCCCCGAGTGGTTGCCTTTTGGTTTCCCTTTGAGACAACCAACCAACGGCTACCTTCGAAAACAGACAGGCCCAAATTACTCTAGCATTGAATAAGGAACTCCTTAAAAGTATGAGGTGCACAATAATCCCCCCTGAATGTTGTCCATCAATGAAACAAGGCGTTCCCACTTGAAGGACGCCAATTTTTGGGGTTATCCCCCCTCCCCCATGTCAAGACAACCCCAAATGAGTCTTAGCTCAGCGTCCCGCGCTCAGCGCACTCCTCGCTGCAGAAGACCACGTCGCAGTGCTCGCAGCTCACGCGGTCTCGGACGCGCCATGGGGGAGCGTCCAGCTCGGCGGCAAGCTGGGGGTCGGGCAGGTAGTCCTGCGCAGCGCGCTTGGGGCGCGAAGTGGCGTATCCAAACGCCGCAAAATAGGGATCCAAGTCATGCACCTGCATCACAGAGAGCTCGTTTTCACCTTCCACAACACAGACGAATCCCGTTGCTCTTTAACTGGGGGAGTTGGAGTTTCCATGACCGTCTCAAAATGGGGTTGTTACCCCATCCCCCAATTGAGGGTGCATCACCACATATTCAAGGGATCGTGGAGACTCCAGCTTTCCGTTTCCGCTGCTTCGAACATCAGCGCAAGAGCAGAAACACGGCCCCACACACAATAAGACACGACCATTTGTCCAGCAAACAAAGCTTCCTCCAGGGGCTAGGGCTTTTGGTTATATAGATTCATGCCTGGGTCCGGAAAATAGGCTTTCGGGCCTGAGACCGTCCCAAACAAACACCACGCCTGGAACATGTCAATTCAAAAAGGTGGGTGCGAGACGCGAGAAAGGAGCCGGATGGCACCGCATTTGGCTTGGAAGCATCAGTTGCTCACTCACTTGCTTGGTGGAGTGCCCAAACTGAGGAAATCTAAACTTTACAGTAAACAGCTGATGTGGGTTGAAACAACAAACACCAGTTCCCAGTTGGTTTCCATTTTTCCCTGTGTTGATTGACTCGTGCTTTGGGATGATGTTTGTGCTTCAGGAGCTGCCCCAGAATCAAACACTGAAACTCCTCGTGCATTCCCTGGGCTTCAGTACTCGATCGGCAGAGGTAGTCGAAGGGAGGCAGAAGGGAGGCAGAATGAGAGGCAGAACGGACCAAGAAAAAAGGCAGAAGGGAGGCAGAAGGGAGGAAGAAGGGAGGAAGAAGAGAGGCAGAAGGGAGGCAGAATGAGATGCAGAAGGGAAGAAGAAGAGAGGCAGAAGGCGCTAGGGAATAAGCTTCCTAGGAAGATTCTGGGAAGCCTCTTTATTTGTGCGACCCCGCAAAGCGTGCTTATCCGATCAGATTCGTGTCAACGTTAAACCGTGCTTTGTGAATGGTCTTGGCCCTTTTCCCGCCAGAAACAACCTAGGAAAACTGTTTCTGATGGAAACCTGCTGATTGGGTTCTCTGACTGAGCCAAGGAAATGGGGCAAGTGAAAATTATTCCCCCCACCAACATAAGCCTGCCAGAAACATCCCACCGCCCGCGAGCCGATCGCTTGCTCGAGTGGCCTGCAGTGAGCCCATGTCTGCAGCCTGGTGGTGGCTTCGCCACTTGTGTCAACATGAATTCAAAATGTGAATGCGGGTTATATCACCATCGCCCGGCCTGAAATTGAACTTGACTTTTTCCAGGGAGAAAAGGTTCCACCAACTAGGCAAAAACGAAGGCCTGCCCATCCCCCACAAAAGGTTTGAAGGAACTTCTGAGAAGGGGCTCTGATCCTCGAACTTTGAGAGTCGGGTAGAGGGCCCAAATGCCTCTCTCCTGAAGCATTCAAACCTGCATTTGGTCTCCTTCTGGGATTCTAGGTGTGGCATAGGGTCTGGAAAAAGAGAGCAATCCCGGCGAAACGATACTGCAAACCACACTTGTGGTACTGAGTGTATGGACAATAACTTACCACCACCAACCTCCAACTTCTGGTTCCCTTGTTTGGACAATTCAACTTACTCTTCGAGCGATCCCCACCTTTGCAGAATGCAAGCAAATCACTGGCACGCAAGCTCTGTTTTCTCAAGGTCAGGTGCAGATTTCGTGGCAGGCGCAGCACTTTCGCAAGGTCAGGTCCAGTACTTTCGCGCGGTTAGGTACATAAAGAGATAGATAGATAGATAGACAGACAGACAGACAGACAGACAGACAGACTGACAGACAGACAGACAGACAGACAGACAGACAGACAGACAGACAGACAGACAGACAAATAGACTAGATTGATATAATCTTGCCCAGCCATGTCTTATAATTTGCGGTGTGGCTTCCACGGAAATTAGCAGACATCTCAGGGGTACAGCGGTTGGTAAGTACACGCAATCGGCGGGACCCTAAACATGGTGACATGGCGGTTGTCCTCCCGTCTATTTCTGAGGTCAGTGAAGAGGATACCTTCAAAAGCCCTATCTCGCTTCCTGAGTGGATGGGCCAAAAACAACACAAACTGTGTCGTTGCAACTGAACTGGTCCAAACCCAAGAAAGGATGCGGACCTCGGGAAATGAGTTGTGAGTCCTGTAAGTGGCGTATCACTACCACTAAGGTGAAAAGGAACCCCCGAAAGGACACACACACACACTCACACACACGCACTTGTGCCTATGGTCAAGCGCCCTCAATGCTTGCCGTGGCCTGGAGCACCTTTGACAAGGCCGAGCCAGCGCTGCCGCAGAAGCGCCGGCAAACGCAACAAACCTCGCCTCAGCCAAGGGTTCTCCGCCCATTGCCCCCCCCCTCACCCACATGGTTGCCGAAAGGAAATCTTTGTTTGATACCAAAGTGGGTCATATGACTACATTATCGCCCGGGGGTTCCCATAAGCTCCTCCAAAAGAAACCTAATGACATGTCGAAGCAAGGGGTTGGCCACCCTGTTCTCCACCCTCCAAGCACCACCCCCACCCCGTCGGATTTCTCAAACCCCAGTTTGCAACCACTGACTTGGACCCAATCAGTAGGAAGGAAACCTTTCTGTTGGGGTTGACTCCTTTGCAGCGTCCCGAACTCACTAAACAAGAATGGCTCGAGAGGGATGGAATCCACTGAAAAGCTGGGTGTGGCGTCCTGTGTTTGGGAAGCATCCAGCAAAAGGCTGCTGAACTGAGACCCCCAAGCGTGCTGTTGGGCAAACAAAACTCCACATCTGCTCGAAACCACCCCACCAAAAACCACCCCCCGCAGCCGCACCCAAGGCGCAAAGACTCCGTGAGTCGCTGTACTGGAGCAGCGACAAAGGCGGCTGGGCCGCGCAAATGGTGCTCCGCGCCTGGCGAGATCTGGGAGCTGAACCTGGAGGCGAAGGTTCAGGGTGGTTGGTTTTCTTTTGTGCCTCTTTCAACCATGAAAAGGCCCATTTAAACCATCCCCGTGTGAAAGAAAAACATCAGAATGAAACATGGCACAAAGACACATTGCCCAGTAGATGTGGTGACTAAACCAAAATGAGGGAAGTGCGTCATTGACTTTTACCCATGTGCATGTCCAATACTGATTCGCAGCCATAATATGTGGTTCATATTCCCAGACCCTTTAGGTTACACCTGGTACCTTTGGCATGGATATCCAGCGAGGATGTTTGAACCATGTTCCACTAACTCAAAGCTATAGCACAGGGAGCCATGGAACAAGGGTATGGAGATCCATGGTCCTTCACTTCAAATTGGCGCTACATGGCAACAGCTCCCCTTGCTATGGCTCTGAAGAAAATATATAAATATACGGCAGGGTTCTCAGACCTTGTTCAGGGTCTCTCCGAAGAACCAATTGAGACAAGGGGTGCTGGCGAAGAGAAACGAAAGAGCCAACCCAACTGTCTAACCTTGCGTGCTGGTCATGCTTAACAGCCTCGCAGCAACACTCTTAGTAGGCCTTCCTAGGCCCGAAGGCCCCATCGGGCCTGAAACGATCCTTGGCGATGCCTAAAACAACCCCTGGAATTTTGGCCTTGCCTCATTATGTTATTGACTGGGTCAAGATTAACCACATCAGCTGGAAGAAGAGCACTGGGTCATGCTAGTCAACTGGGGTCAAGCCACAAAGAAAGGAAACTAGAAGGACCCGGGTGTAGCCCAGCCATACATAGGCAAGGTTGAATCTGCAATCAACCTTGACTAATAGGGTGGTTCCCCCAACAGCAACAACCCCCCCCTGTAAGACACTGCCCTGACAGCTTTGCAAATTCACATGAAATCCGGCTCGGCAGAAAACAGAGATCCCTCTGGAATTGATTGTTGGGCCTTGTTGATCTGTTCTGCAGAGTATTGCCGACCCCGCATAAATCAACCTGCTGGATCACAAGTGGAGTATTCCAAAACAAATGAAGGATACTGTCTTCAATGGGGCAGCCGTAATAGTTAATCGACATCGATTTTCCAATCAAGATTACATGTCTCCCTGAAAGGGCATTGGACATATTGGACACTGAAACTTGATACGTCCTCATGATGGATCATAGACAAATCCCATAGTCTCCTCCCCAAGACCCCCCCAGTGGCCATGGGAAAAATGCCCTCAAAATTTTGATACTTGCTTTCAAAAGGATTTTACCCTCAAACAAAAAGTCAACAAAAAGTCGAAGCAACCGACTGGGCGGGTCCCACCAAATCCCGCATCGGCGAGCCACTCGCCTGCACGGATCGCCCGGACGCGAGGCCCCGGCCCCGGCCATCCGTGAGCTTCTCCGCGCGCAGCAACTGCTGCTGGAAGGGCGTGTACACCTCGAGTCGGATCATCGAAATAGTTTCGGGAACCCCCAAAACGGTGCTCGTCCTTTTGGTTTCCCTTTTAAGCCTCAAAAAGCAGACAGTGATTTGGGTATGAATTGTCAAACCCAAGGGGTTGGCATCAATCCCCCATGTAAATGATGTCCAGAAGTCCCCAATTACAATTAATACCCCTTTGGGTCCATGCAAATCGTGTTTGGCCTTTAACCCGCAAGTAAAGCTGAGGCCCGTCTATGAGTATGGAAAGGAATTGCGAGACCCACGCCCTGTGCAAGCTCACTGGAGTCACGATCCAAACCTTGCAGCTTATCTTTTTGCAATAGGCAGCAAAACGGCGAATTGAGCGAGGGACGGTGCATGACAGCGTAACGTCGTCTACCCAAACCATGCAACGAAAGAACCATCAAACCTGTTTATGTGTGGGATAGTCCCTTACCAACCTTCACTCACCCGAATTTTTGATTGTGGCTCACTTGGCGGTGGGTCTATCTCCAAAGCGCCCAATTGTTTCCCAAACGGGATCTATTCAATGGCAACTTGGAAATAAACCCAAGGCAAACACCTGGGGGTTTGGGAGCTCACCCCTCCAACGCTTGTCTCTGGGATATGATTCCCAAACAACATGGATTGTTTTCCAAAGAGGACGTCTTCATATTAAGACCCAGGTCTTTGACTTAGTTGAGCACTCCTCTGAAAACTGACACCTCCCCGTCAGGCCCCGCCGCCCCCCCCTCCGCCTCAGGGTGTCTGCCCGGCCAGCTTTGGCATTTTTTCCCGGACCAGTCTGGAACTGTAGAGGCGCAATAGCCTGTCGGTCGAAACTTTCGCTGGATGAACCATTGGCACCGGTCCAACCAAGATTGCTTCTCAAGCGCATGGTGCGTTTTTGGCGGGCTGCCCTCCGCGACTCTTGCAGAACCCGCATAACTCTAGCTATTCCGTGAGGCAAGCAGTGGTACACAGCGTCGGAGAGGAAGGCAAAGCACACCACCCCGAACAACAGGACAAGACAGGGACGGCACATCGTTTGCTGCAGCCGCTCGGGAAAGTGTGTCCATTTGCGACTCCACAACTTAAATCTTGGCTCAAAGCTTGCAGTGTACTCCAGGGGTGTGGATCCGACAGCAAATTCCCTCCCTTGAAGCTCGGTCAGATTTGCTAGCAACATTTCAATTCTCCAAGTACAGGCAAACGACAAAGTCATGCCTAAGTCACTCCTTTATCTGTGTGGCCATGTGTTCCCCCATGTAAACGCCGATTCCAAGAAGTCACTCCTAAGTCACGCCTCGGCAACAATCCCCATGGAACGCTTGACATCACCGAGCTGGTCATGCTACAAAAAGACAGGTGTCAACACTGAAACACAATGGAACGCTACTGATGGCAAAGCATGTTTTCCAGCCCCGCGAGGCGTCTGCAGGAACATGAAAACCAATGGAACGCCAAGCATACGATAGGTTGTTGCAGGAGAGTTTTGTCAGACGTGACACAATGGGTGGGCTTTGCAGGCTCTTGCACCGTGTTTTTCCACGTCCTGGAGTTCTTTCTCTGGAAGGCAGGCAGCCACATATGCAATGCGCCCTGGCACAAAAACGAGATCAAAACGAGATCAAAACGAGATCAAACCGAGAGCAAAACAAGAGCAAAACAAGATCACCGATCGTCCGTTGAAGATTTTGGGATATTTTGGGCCCACATGTGCCGAACCCGCGCCCACAAGTTCACTCACTTCTGCACCCGCTCCCATCAACCCACTTCCGCACCCACTTTCCGACTCAATTTCGCACCTGCGAATGCCAGCCGCTCAAGCGCGCCTGCTCAGCCCTTCGCACACACGCCAGCCAAATGGTAAGCACCCCCGCTCAAGCACACCGGCTCAGCGCTGCACAGGCGCCAGCCAAATAATAAGCACCCCCTCAAGCGCACCCGCTCAGCCCTGCAAACACGCAAGGTTAGTCCAGGTGAGAGGAAAAGCAAGGTGCCGACTCGAACCAGCTGTAGCAAAAGAGACGTCAAGTCTCAAGATTGCGAAACACACTGTAAACGCTCCTAGGCGGATAAGATAGAACGTGCCTAAACCATCCTAAACCCCACGGAATAACCATTTTCAACTGCAATGCCTCCCAAAAGCCTATCCCTTCAAACATGCAGAGTTCCTATGCGTTTTGGACAGAGGCACGACTTCTTCGAAGCCCTCTCCCCCATGGAATTTAAGCACTGCCTCAAACGGAGGCACGACTTTGTCAAATCTCTGTATGCGCCCTGGTTAGGAAGTTGTGGCCTAATTTGAACTCCTGCAAGGCGCTTCGGATATCCCAAGGGAATGAGCTAGGGAATGGATTGCCGTCGCCCAAGTTGTCCCCCCGGCCTGGTTTTTGTGGAAAAATTGGTGCCCTCGTGGGGGTTGGGGTCCTGAGAGCGTTGAGTGTCCTGTCAGCCTCAGGGGTCTTGAGAGCTTCCACGGAATCGCCTGGGAGCCGGTGTTCCTAAAGGTCTATTTTGCCAGTAATTAAGCTTCAGTCCGACAAGGACGTGCCTGTGCAAAGAACAAGTTTGGTATAGCTCCAAAAGCAACTCCGCTGATTTTGCAAATAAGGTCCAGGCGCTTTTTGGGGGCCCTGAATTCCTTTGTCCATGTCCAAAGAGGCTGTGGACGTGCCTCAATGGCCATAGCGGGCAACAACCGAGGAGAAAGCCCCCCCCAACCCCTTGAAAAGGTCCTTGCCCCAGTCTCTAGTTGGTACAAGTATATTTCAACAACAAAATCGTTTAGGTTGAGTCAGGAGTCATGTCATGATCCCGGAAAACAATGGCTGGGGAGTAGGGGGAGTTGCTCCGGTGCCTGGAAAGCCTTTCTTGGGGTTCCCCAGGGCGGAGTAGAGGATCGCCGAAGGCATCGCCATGGCACCGCGAGTTCTCGTGAGCGAGTGCACTGAGGGTCCCGAGGGCTAGGGCTGAATTAGGGGATAAGGCACAAATGGCACCTATCTCTTTAGGTAGCAAAGGGGGTGAGGCTTCGCAGCTTCGCAAATATTGAGAATTTGCAAGTTGCTTTCGAGTCAAAGGGCGTGACGATGTGTGCTGGAGCTTCGCTTTAACGCTTAAAATAACAACTATAGCGCGCTCGTGATTGTAGAGTGTTGTCTAGCTATATGCTTTACTATGTGCAAGCATACAATACATGCTACTAGTACATATATGTTTTCACATATCACATATGTTTATCTCTTGCAGCATGGAGTCCACACGGTGCAGCAAACATCAAGCGCTAGGCTCAGCTGTAAACTGCGAGCTTCTTTGAGCTCCGAACTACGCCTTGAGCCCATCGATTTGGCGGTTCACAGTGCTGCCAGCGGTCACTAGAACAAATGACCTGCGCATGTTTGGTGGATATCCATTTCGGGGTTGCTTTAGCCACCAATATGGTCCCTACAGCCCAGAAACTGGGAATTGAGATGACCCGTGTCTGTTTGTAGCACAACTCTTGGCCAAATCCGTCCATCCTGCAAACAGCGAGCTTAACGCTCATTCAACAGGCAAAATGAGGAACACCCAAACAGGACAAAAGGGCAAACTGGTTGTTGAAGTCTGCCAGTGAAGTATCTGCACTGCATTCTGTAAGCCACCAATCTAAAGTAACAAATCCCGAGTAAAGGACCTTTCTCATGTGCCAGCTCATTTTACCCTCACTGAGCTTACTTGTTCGATCGCGTGTTTGAGCATGCATCCCGATCTTTGCAAGCAACCCCATTGTTCCAAAGGTTGATTCCCCGGGTTCTTGAGAGACTTCCAAAGGTGGGATGTTCAGCCATGTTCTATCAAAGACTTGCTGGCTCTCAGGAGGCAATAAGGGAATGACCTATTCCTTATTACTTCCTTTCAGGGGATCCTTAAAATCATTTCCACAACCCCAAGGTGGTTCCCGTCCCTACTCTGAGATGCAGCAAGGAGAAGGATTCCTCAAGTCTGAAAATCACATCGATCGGCCTCCTACGTTCAGGTTCCTTGCGTTTTGCCCTCGCCCGGCCTGTCTTCCACCATCCTCTCCTGCAATCGAGCCCGTACCGGGCCAACCGAGGGATCGTTTTGGGTCAAGGGTCCCCAGAATCCAGGTGCAGTTCAGTGTGAGTTCCAATTGAAGGGAACTGAATGCCCTAAAGATGCTGGCCATGCTCTCAATCGTATTGCTGCGGCATTTATGTAGCCTTGGACAGCTGTGAAAAGACCCCACTTGAAGGGAAGCGGTTTCTAAGACATGTGTGAATCCCCCCAAATGCAAATACGCTAGTAGCCCTGGCAGGCCCTTTCCCTTACAAATGAGGCCCTTGTCAGGTTCCATGTTAGTGGGTCTCTTTGGGAACCCACTGGACACAGTGGAGAGGGTGGCCATCTGTACATAGAACCTGGACATCAATGCTTTGGTTCTGCCCAAATGAGCGTCAAGAAGGCATAAAAGAAGTTGCGGATAACAGCAACGGTTCCTGAGGAGCATTCTCCCTGTAAAAAAGTCATGTTCAACCATTTTACATGAATTGTTTCTGCTTTCCAAGTCTTGAGTGAGCAATCCTGACTGATCTGTCCGGCGGTAGGATGATGATTGCCATTGCCCCAAAGGGAATCCATCAAAAGGGGGGCGCCCCATTTAAGAGAAAATCCAGATCACCTCTTGAAAGCCCCCTTTCTATGATTCCAGCCGCTTGACTCATGCGAGGCGGACATTGGGGGTTGTCTCTTTTTTGAGGGACCCTTTTTGGAGTTTCTTTCCATCAAAAACAAGTGGAACCCACCCAGGTCCCTTGTCTTGAGACAAACCCGCTTGTCAGTCATGATGCACCGTGGCATGTGCCTGGTCAGGTGATGTGGCATCGGGTGCCATCCATTGCCTGCACCACTGATCCTGTTGATGTGTGTAAGATCCTAGAATCAACGCAGTAGGCTTGGTCTCTCCCACTGACATTGAAACCCCTTTGTTATCCTCACTTTGGTGACTATCATCATTAGCTTGAATCGTAAATGCCAAGCTGATTTGTGTTCTGTGTTATGTTGTTATTCACTGCTCATGCCTGTCACGACACATCTGCTATAAATTAGGATTTGTTGCAACTCCCATAAATCATATCTGTCGGAGCGCATATAAAACTGGGAAAGCCTGCCCTTTGACGAGTTGAGTTACCCCTTGAGAAATGGAAACGCCATACCCGCATTGCCATGGCATGTCAAGCCGGCTCTGAGCGGTCAACGGCTCCGATACAGGAAACGCAGGCACATCCTCAAGTTGTTTGGGAGCCATTCCCCACAACCTGCCCCAGGAGAAAAAACACGCAATCCTTCCTTCCCAAGTTTGACTTGAGCGTGTCCGAAAATTGGGGGACCGGGGGACACCCCTCTTGTCATGCCAGCCCAAAAAACAAGCGGTGGTGCCCGATTCTTGTTTTGTTTAAGTTGTACTTTGCTCATGCCTTCTAGAGGGCCGTTTTTTAGATTTTGCAAAAAGACTCAGCGAATCTTGGCGGTTTCCACCACTACGACGGGGCAACGAACGTTGGCCCTCCTGGTTTTGGTGCAAAGTTTGTGGCTCGCCCCCTCTCTGCTCACATCTCATCTCTTCCTCATCCCTCCACCCCCAACTGAGTCATGTACCTCCATCTGCGAATTCTACACGCAATCCCAAACCTGAAGTCATTACGCGATCCCCCAAGCATGGGCTCTACATTGTGGGTGTTCGCTCGTTTAAGCTTGAAAATTATGAAATATGTGCCTCAATGCCCCTCCCCCCCCTCAACATACAAACACTTAGTGTGGGAAGCTAGTCCCATCCATAATACCAACATACTAACATGGGACATCCCGTGATATTCTCAATTTGAGTGAAATTCCCTTGGTATCACAGAAAGCGGCACCCTAAATTGCATAAAAGCCAAATGTTTGCTGAAATAGGGAAACTCCATTGCCCCACTTCCTGAGTGGATCGGCCAAAGCACGTCTGCCACTACAAGTAAAATGGTCCAAACCCAAAAATGACAATGCCCCAGGAACTCAGGAAGCGAGTCGCCCACAAACCACAGGCATAAGACGCCCCTTTCGCATGTGACTCGCAGGCTCCCAGCCCCAGCTGCTGCAAGCGACCGAGGTGTTCTGGCAGCTTCTCCACCGGGAGGATGTCCGCCACCAGGCCACAGGCCACAGCCTGACCATAGTCGTCGTCGTCGTCATTAATTCCTTCCTTAACTCACTTAATTCATTAATGACGTCAAGGTCGTCGACGACGACGACGACGACGACGACGACGACGACGACGTCATCCCCCGAAGAAAAAAACAAAAAACGAGGGCTCTATAGGGGGCGTTTCGCAAATTGGCGCAAGCCCCACCTCTCCTACACAGAAAGTCACATGCTCGGATTATGTTTCATATTTGGTCTACCCTAAAATATGACACAGCTTTGGAGAAGGCTCGGAGGAACCCACATGGCTGTGTTCCTGTAAGCGTCTATCACCCAAAACGGCAAAGGGAAGCGGGTCCTGCAGTTCCCAAAGGAGTTTGCACCCCAAACTTGCGAGGCATGGGCTCTGTAGGCTCCCATAACCTCGGGTCTCAATCAGTGGGGAAAATGGGCTTCAAAACCCACATGGGTGCTCAAATAAGGATACTCCAATGTTTCCAAACTGGTTGGGTTCCTTTTGGTTCCCCTTTACATACCGACCAAAACAGGGTCCACTTGTCCACTGCTTTTGAAACAACCTGGTCATTGTTTTACAGTGGCTGTCGGATATTATATCATATGATCCTAACTTCTTTGGAACCCCGTAAGCCCACTCCCACCCCCCGCTCTCGCGCGATTTTTTCAAACCCTAACTCAGGGCCTGATTTGAGGCCACCGGAAAGGGGCTGGGGGAGATCCTATGACTACAGCACCCCTTTGAGACTTTGTGCTATAGCATAAGAAGATCCTGCAGTAATTTGTTAAAGCCCAAAAGGCTCGTTCCGTTCCTTGGCCTACTTTTCACAACACCGGAGGAACAGGAACAGGCATGGATTTGCTATTTCATGCTGACATGCTATTTCTTTCTTTTGCGTGAGAACAACATTGAAAACTGTAATCCCAACAAAAGCAAGCCCAAAGGCCTTCAAGGTCGCAAGGTTGTTTGTTCAACTCCTAGTTGAAATCTATACCGCCAGACTCCTATGACATTGCTGTGTGTCTCCTCCGGGTTAAAAGTGAATGAGTTTCGTGTGTGCGGCGTTCGCTGAGATTGCTTGAAGCGCCCCCTTCCTCAGTCTGTTACGCAGAGTACAGGTGAGCGACGAGCGATCTCTGTAGATTAAACAATTATAGAAAACAACATGTATACACGTTTCCTCAAGTTGATCAAGCGTAAAGACGACTCAACGATGATGATGACTCATGAATCAAACAAGATCACCGGTTGGTTGTACTGATGTTACGTAGCACAAAAACAAGTGAAGTTACATCATAAACATGATAATGATGATGATGATGATGATGATGATGATGATGATGATGATGATGATGGTGATGGTGATGGTGATGGTGATGGTGATGGTGATGTGACGGTGATGACGATGACGATGACGATGATGATAATAATGATGATGATTACAATGATGACGACAATGATGACGACAATGATGATGATGATGATGATGATGATGATGATGATGATGATGACGACGACGACAATGTTGATGATGATGACGACGATGAAGATGAAGATGATGGCCGAGATTACCATGACAAGAATGTGGTTTCTGTCCGAGCGACATCCAGGGATACCCGCTGCGTATCCATGGTCAGCACCAAATTCAGCGCCATCGGCGCAGGTAGAGCTGCCGATGGCAGGGAGGTCAGCAGAGAGCTGAAGAAAAGCCTAAGCAAGGAGCAAAGCCCTCCTATCCTATCAAGGGGTCTTATTTTGCAATCATGTCTCTCCGCTGGAGGAAAACAATGGTCTTCAGTCTATAAAGCCAGGTAGTAGAACCACCATCTATACAACACTGGTCCCGTGGCTTTCCTCAAGGATTGGTTCTTCAGCACCCATCACTTTGTATGGCTGTGCAACTTCGACCGCAACATGGACAGGCTTGCCCATATTTGCTTGTTGAACATCAATCACACTACCAAAATCAAGCTATACAACTGACCCAAACTGTGATGTTCCAAAACCGCCAATGGACGCCAACTGTTCAGCGAGCACGCGACGACACAGTCCAAGTATCACATCTGCGCTGGCTGCGCCCGTGAGCAGCACTGCTTGACGCCAGCGGCGACACTTCCTAGCATGTGGGAAGTCCCGCAATCTATCATAACGCTGCTTCTCTCGCTCGTTTTTTCCTTCCCTTCAACTACCAACCCAAAGGGCCCACCACTTCGACAAACATCTGGACAATCTAGCTGCAAACAATTTAACTAAAACCCCTTGTTTTGGTGGGTATTTGGCTAACTCCCTGCATGATTTCCTGGCACTGGTTTCTGAGACTCTAATCCTTAAGAGAACAACAAAGTACACTCACAAGGCCGCCAAAATTCATGCAGGAAACCCGAAAAGGCGAATTGCGCATCTCACTTTGGGCTTTGCAAAAAAGAACGCCGGAGGTCTGGTCATCAAACGTGAACCCCGAGCTTCGCCAGCGCGTCCGCCCCTGCGTTGCGCAGCACGCCGAAGTCGCCGGCGCCGGCCGCGTCAACTCCGCCACGGAGGAAATGCAGTGCCCAGGCCCAGCGCCGGGCTGTGCTGTAGGCCTGGCGTGGCTCAGGGGGTCGACCGTTAAATTTGTTCGCTTGCTGGTTCTCAGGGCATCAACAAGGGCTTGGGATTTCTTTGGGGAATGCTTCATTTGATCAACATGGGCGTGTTAATCCTGGGTCAACACTGCCAGAATATGAGTACGCTCTAATCATGGAAGTTGACAAAGGTTCAATATGCAAATGAGAATAGTCATTCAACACCCCGCCGTCATCTTCCATGATTCCAACAAGGGTAAGATTTGGGAAAAAGGACTCCTGATCGAGATATTCCAGTCTGTCAGATTGTCCAAAAGGCCGTTCTGGCCCCCGCAACCCGACGAAAGAAGATACTTTAACACATTTAACCTGATAGGTTTTAAAAGAGTCTTTGCCATTTGTGCAATCATCTACAAAACAATCTTCCGTCTTCTCCATCCCGTGCTGCCCCTTCGGCCCGCCTTGATGCAGGTACTAGTGGTCTCCAGGCTGGCGGACAAGCCTCGCACGAATGGGAAGAACATAAATTGAGGCGGGACGGGACGATGAAGGACAAACCGGCAGCCCCCCCAAGGGCCCCGCATCTTTGGATGTTCAACCCACTTAACATGTAATTAGTTGTTACTTGGACCCTCGCAGCACATTTTTTAAGACGTGTTCATCATCCACGGGTAGCGAGTGGGGGCAGGGTTTAAAGAATATGAAACAACTACCCTCCCGACAAACATGAAAGCGAACAGAAAGAGCCCTTGTCATGTGGACGACTATGTGCCAAAGAAAGACTGCATTGACGAACGAAAGGGACAAGGCCGCACACACACACACACAAGCACGCATCATGCAATAAACACAAGCTGCGAAATAGAAACGGCATGGACCCAATGAACAACTTCCACAAACATAGCTCGTAGTGTAGGTCTGGATGATCCAGGCTCAAGAAAACCTTGGTGGATAAATAGGGGTTGTCTCTTTTGAGAGAAAAATTCTATATTGATATACATAGTATATATATATATATACATATATTTTATACATATATGTACATGTCTTGTTGTTGTTTCTGGTTTCCTTCTTTTTGTTTTGTGGGGGGACACCATGCTGTGAATCTGCAAGGTTCTACTTGAATCAACGGTCACATGAAAGGTCAACCGTTTGTAACCTTGACTCAACATTGCCCAAAAGCAGGGTCCACAAGGTTTACAGGCCAGTTTTGAACAAGCAAGAGCATACTGTCGAACGACGGAATCCTGCACCACCTAGGATGGATGAAGCCCCGCAAATATTATGATAAACCATCCAGTGACTGGTGCATGGCGTGGACTTGTCCATCAACAGTATCCGGCCCACACGGCCCAAAACATTCGATCGGGCACATCTTTGGGCATACAAAAACACTGGTGTGCCTTCAAATAGCGGACCCCATGGCAGATCATTCCCCATTGGTTTCTCTTTAAGCACCCCCAAAAAGAGTACCACAGACCCACAGCGCTAAGTCCAGACGCGTGCGGCCAGCATCGCCCTGTGAAGATTTGCCCCCCGGCGCCAAGTGGAGCTCTTTTCACAGGCGCTGATGGCCTCTGTTGAATCGGGAAAACCCACGGGGGAAGGACGTGTCTGGGTTCCTTTTTACAGAGCAGAAGGTCCACCTTTTGCACGCCCATTCGTCTCCAAAAGATCTATATAACGGGGCATCGTCACACGAAGCCAGCCATGGCAGGTGTGTGTGTGTGTGGAACCCTTCAGGTGGGTGGGTTCCTTGTTACTTCATTGTGTGTCTGTCATTGTGACGCTGCAGAACAGGGGGGTTAGGAAAAAATACGAAAACATGATCCTTGACTGTTTGGTTTCCTGGGGAACAGTGGGCAAAAAAACAACATGCATCCAGGGTTTGCGCGCTCGTTCCACACATTGACTTTTGATTCTACCAACATCGTTCTAATCTTTTTATAGGCTTTACAACTTTATTTGGACCAGGTAGTAGACAGCGACCAAAATGGCCAATCTGGAATTTCGGCCCTGCTCGTTTCAGTTGGAGTCCCGCGCCATGTTGAGGTCCGCAGTGTCCAGGCGTAGCTCTGCCCAGCGCATCCTCGAGTCGAGCTCGAGAAAACGGCGCCCGTGAAACGAATGCCGCCTTAAACATATTTGCTGGGTGGGCCAACCCCTTGTTAAAACACGTGTCAACCACAATTGTATAACACATCTATTTGGTTTCCCTTTAAACGGGGTACAAGGTCTTGTGCTTAAGTGCCCCACCATGGTAGTGCACCCGAGTTGCTGGACATAACCCAGCTTTAAAGGGTTCTGGAGTCACGGGAAACTCTAGGTACTATAAGGGCCCAACACATACAACAGAGTGGCGAGGTACTGTAACCAAATCATCATTCACTTCATCATGAGTTCCTTCCTATCTTCCTTCGTTCCTTCATTCCCGCTTGCCTTGCTGTCCTTTCTATTTTCCCCTGCTTGGAACAACGTTTAGTCATTGATGTTCACATGCAGAACCTTAAGCCAGCCTAGCCAAGCCTCAACCCAAGTCAAATAATTAGCTGGTACGTCCAGCCTGGAACACTCAACCCACCTTGAATGTGCCCTGCAGCCACCTCAAAGATCATCAAATAATCTTGATATATTTGACTGCAAACAGCTCTGTGGCAATCTTGAACCTACCATACACCAGCGCTGAGCTAGTTCTGAAGCACAATTTGCACCGGGTTGACGTCAACAACTTCGTTTAAATGGAAACACCCAATTGTGGTAAACAAGCGTGGTTTGTGTTTCCTTGTGCCGGGTGGTCTTCAATTTGAAATCAAATCAACCAGCAGCAATCAAGCCACAAGCAGCTGGCTATCCTGTAGTGGTTCATACCAGGGTTTCATGTCAATGTATGTAGATGTGTGAAGGTGTGCATATCTATGTGTATGACTAATTTATACATGACACCTGTGAACATTGCGAGACATAGATAACATCTTCATTGATTGTCCTTTCATGCCTACCCCATATTTCCGTAATTTGCCCGCCCGCTTGAAATTTCATGTTTCCTGTCTGCTCATCTTAAAACGTGTGTTTGATCTTGCAGTGAAGACATCCCCACCCCCCCAAAAAAAAAACATTGTGGGAAACCTTGAAGAAGGCCTGACAATTCACACATGTCGTGTGTCAATTTGGACAAAAATGAAACAACAAACGGACAATGCAAAGCATATGCAACAAGTCGGGCAAAACAAACAAGTCAAAAGCAAAACACTCCCAAACAGCAACGTTGGACAAAAGGAACACGAGGGGGGACAGAGGCAAGGGCAAACAACCGAGAAAGAGTGACGGACTGTTCCGGGCAGAGCCGAAAAAGAGAAATATATAACAAAGGATACGAGCAGAAACTACAAACATGACAACGTAAGCAAACACAAACACAAGGGTAGGAAAACACGAAAAAGGCAAATTCGCAACAGGATTCCTTATATGTCCTAAAAGACATCTACTGACTGTTTAAGCTGGCCAAAATGACAAGTGTGAGTTGATATAAGGACCCCCTTCAAGGGAAGAGGGAAAGAGGGAAAAATAGGTGCCTGGAAAAGGGGAAATAGAAGGATCCAGTACCATCTGTGTTTTGTAATTTTATTGAGGATCAGAGCAGCCCTAGAAAAGGGAACTAGGGTAGAAATGTGGTCTGCGGTAACTAAAGGGAGACCGAAGAAACCAAAACACATTTCTACCCTTTGGTTTGACTATCGTTGAAAGGCTCACAACAACCCTCATATTTTGAAGCAAACGCCATGACATAGGTCACTGGAGTTCAAAGCTTCACCTTTGGAGGTTCGAAGCAAAACGTGGAAGGCCTAACCCTCAAAGCCGGGTTTTTGAGGAACAAACTGGTCAGTCACATGTTCAAGTGAAGCCTGTGTTTGGGTGTGTCATTGGGGGTGGTTTTGAAGGGAAACGAAGAGGATGTCAATCATTTTGAGGGTTCCCCAATTTCGACACACATCCCAGAGTCGTCACATACTGCGAATGATCAGGGAAACCCAAAAGGGAGTTTCCTCTATGTATTGTTGCCTTTTGGCTGCCAGGACCCATTTGCAGGAAAGCCTGTATTGCTTTTCAGGTTTGCCGCTGGCATGAACTCCGGTTGCAACTAAGCATCTGCAATACAGAGGCCAGCGCGCCGCGCCAGTGACCGGCCGACTGTTGGGCAGAGAGCAACTCGTGCCTGGCAGTGCAGTGACGGGGCTCGTCTCCCTTTAAATGCCAACCACGAGGAAACGGGCATGAATCCATCAGATGGATGAACGCGCGGTCGACATTGAGCAGAGTTTGTTTCACTTTTCCAAATAGTGAATCGCTTCTACAAGGGGCAAAGGCACTACGACTCAGGGAAGCTCCCCTACCCAGCACAAACATCCGGTATAGGCTTGCAGATTCCTTTTAGGGGACCCCTGGGGGCAACCTGGGGGGTCTGCAAATATGCAAAAGTCAAAAACAAAACGACTAGAAGTCACAACAGAGGTCACAACTAAGCACCAACTATCTTGGACTCACTGGAAGCACTTGGAAGCCTACAGAAACAACTTAGTTAGCAAGCATTTGAACATACGGCACAGTGTCAACAGGGATTTGACGGGAGTCACAGAAATAGATCCCCATAAAGTTTGCGTTATTTCATATACATGTATATATATATATATATGTATTATATATATATATATATGTATTTGCACCCCCCGATGAATCTACGTGTTGCTGTTTGAAGGCTATTTTGCAGATGGAATGCAGTTGCTTTATTTGGAATGCGACTTGACCAGCATCAGCTCACCCTATGCAAGGAAATCCTCTTCAACATCTAATTTGGAATACCAATACCAATTCTGAGTGCTTCTTTTAAACTAACTATCGTTAAAGCTAGAAATTCTGCTGGAACTATGTCCTTGTTAGATTCCATTTTATTCTAAACAGAAACAACATCCTGAGAAAGGTTGTTCTCTTCAAAATACATTTTGAAGCAATAATCCCTGTTAACAATGTTCTTCAAAATGGACATCCTATTCAAATCATCTTTACGTCCAGCAATTGTGGGGGGTTGTTCAGTTTTAAACCATCCTGAAAATAGACATCCTTTTGAACATCTACTTTGAACTAGGAATTCCAATTATTAAGGGCCGTCTTTTAAACAAACACCTATGTAGTGTCTCCTTAAAACTGTAATGTTTGCTTGACGTATGTCCTCATTAAATTCTATTCAAACTTTGTCAAAAAGTCAACTCGTTGAACATCTAATTGCTCATAATAAGTTTGAATACAATTCTTGTTAAACAAGGAAATCCTACGTCGAGTATCTTTATCCTAAAAACTCTACTAGAGATTGTTCCTTTTTAAATTCATTTCAAACACAGTTAGAAAATTGAACAAACATAATAAAACATAATCCTAGAAAAAGAACCCCCCTTCAAAATAAATCAGTCAAACCAGTTTTGAGACAATAACTCTAACTGGCTTGTTGTTGTGCTGTTCTTTTTTCAAATTATTATCGACTAAATTAAATTCCAGGCAGGAAAACAAAACATGAAAACACTCAGTGAGTTTATTGTTTGAACAAAAGACATGTCCAATGAAATGTGTTACACAAACATCTACAAGAAATAAGTCCGATTCCTATAAACGTCAGTTAATAAACCCAAAACCCTACATCCTAAGCCTGTCCATTCTAATCTGAGGTTTGGTCAGAAGATGCAAACCAGCAGCTATGTTGGAGCCAATGGCCCAAAAGTGAAAATGCAAGAAAGTCAAAATATACAGGCAATAGCCCAAAAAGTAACAGCGTACAGTTCTGGAGCCAATGAGCCAAACAAGTAAAACAGCAAACATAATCAGCCCATAGTCCTGAAGTAAGATGCGCTGACCATGGACTGAAATAATTTACTTTGTCTTGTTTTTTACCTTTTTCCTTTTGGGTCATTGGCTCCAGAATTGTACTTTTTTGCTTTGCTACTTTTGGGTCATTGGCTCCATACTGTTACTACTTTTGGGCCAATGGCTCCAACATAGCATTGGTTTGCATCTTCTGACAAAACCTCAGCTTGGAACTAGGATCCAAACCGCCTGGATTCACTGGAACAGTTTGGCGTCTTTTTTTGTTGCTTTTCCCAAAGCCCCAAAAAAGGCAGAACACACTGCACATACCAGTGAATTCTGAAGAAAGGCAGATTTATGGGGGGGGGGGGGTAGCAGACATATATATACCTGCAGCACCTTTTGATGTTGAAAATGATCGTTTCCAGCTAAAATGATTATTTTTGCATAGTGGTGTTGAAATTCCAACACTGGTTCTCTAAAGACCGTTCGGCTGCTTATGGCGGCAGTGGCGCTTCCGAGAATTCTTTGGTTGAGAAGTGTGCAGCCTCACAGCCGCACTTTTGGTTTATATGGCACAGGCTCAGCAAGGAAAAACATCGCAAGCGGGACGATAAGCTACTACAATCAGGCGTGCTTGCCAATCAGGGCATGAAGAACACTACCCAGGCATGTTCACGATATCCAGCAGGATGAAACGTGCGCAACACAGCCATGGCTATATACATCCGTTTGCAGCCAGCAAGTGATAGGTTTTCATGCAGTGACTGGTGCTGAGCTCATGGTTGTGACCATCATGGGAGATGGTCGTGCATGGCACGTGGAGACGCTATGGCCCGCCTGGCCTGTTAGCCTGAACGCTTGCTTTGATGCGTGCGTGATCGAAGTTGCCGCCACCTGATGTGTTTTTAACCCTATAGCCACGCGTTGCTCAAGCGGTGCGTTTGCCCTTGGATCTTGGCGGCAGCTCGCTTCAGGACATGGACTTGGTGGTTGGGGGGTTTGACCTTGCGGGGGTGGCTGAGGAATGGGACAACACCTTTGAACTAAGAGAGCGGGTGAGAGTCTACAAACACATTGTCCTGAAGAGAAGCTCTGAGAAGTCTGCGTTGGAGGTGGGCTTCGTCCAGAAGACTATTCCGAATCTCAAGGCAAACGCCATGGTCCTACTTCCTGCTTTGCAAATTATGAGCAGAAACAACAAGAAGATCCCAGGAATTGATGAAGTCCTTCAAGAAGTTCAAAAACTTTCTGAACTATGCGGGATGGAGTGGACCAATAACCAAATGTATGAGGAAGCTTGGGCAATCCGGCGGCTGCTTACATTTGTGAAGTCACTCACATACAAGAAGTCGATGCCGAAGGAGACCATTTGACAACCAGCACAGCAATTGCTATTTTCTTTGAACCGTGTTAAAATTGCAACATCGCTATACCAAAATGGCCATGTTCCTTGGAAACAATCATTTTCAACATCAAAATGGTGCTGCAGGATCTAGACTCGTTCAGCCGTGCAAGGCCCCGAATCAACCCCAATCGCCCTGGCTGCAGTCAGCCGCTTTTTCCCCGTCAGGATCACACGCTACGGGTTCTTCTGGTTTGCCTGGGCCACATCTTGGAGGAGCAGAGTGTGTGTGTGTGTGTGCACCTGTGAGAGCCTCATGGTTTCAGTTGGCCCTTCCCTATATAGTCAATTTGAGTTAAAGGGTATGAACATCCATGCTTCCTTCTGTTGAGCACATTATTCGCGATACCAGGGGTCGTGCGGCTGTATGGGTGGAGGGTGAAAAGCAAGGCTCCTATCTCTCGATCTCTTTCTCTCTCTCTCTCTTTCTCTCTCTCTCTCTCTCTCTGGTCCCTTTTTTTCTTAGTCGGTTTTTCCTTCTATACCTTTGTTTCCTTTCCTTTATCGACCATTCTTTCTGTTTCTCTTGGCTGACTTTCTCTCGTTCTTTATGTATAGTTATGTCTTTCTTTCTTTCTTTTTATCTATCTTTCTTTTTTTCTGTCTTTCTTTCTTTCTTTCTTTCTTTCTTTCTTTTTCTTTATATTTCGTGTTTTTTTTGTTTCTGTCCTTGTTGGTTGCTTAGTCTCATTCTTATTTTTCCTGTTTATTCACTTCTCTCTTTCTCTCCTTCGCTCCTTGTCTCCATCCCTTTGTCTTAAGTAGCTATTTGGGCAAGGGTTGTCTTGTTCAAGCACATGACACATGCAGCTTTCTTTCTGGAGGAGGAAGAGGAAGCACCGAAAAGCGACATGGACACCCACAAGGCTTTGCCGCTGGACACGGATCACAAGAAGGAGGTGGGAACATCATCCTCAAGCTTGGACCCGGCAAATGGCAAGGCCCCAGACACATGTCAGGTTCCTGCGCCCTCCCCAGAAGTCTTGAGGCAACGGGATGCCTACTGGGCTCGCTTCAAAACTGGTCAACGATCTCAATCAGAAGTTGGCTGTGAAGCAAACCCGGGCGGGGATTCCTTAGTGGTGGCCGAGGAGGAGACCCCCCCGCTTGAGGAGGCACTTAAGGGGACGCAAAGCCTGGAGCCCACCCTCACCCTTCAGGAAGAAGAATTGCCACCCTTGGAAGCACTTTCGCTTGAGGATGACAAGCAACCCTTGCCTGAGAAGGTGTCTGAAGTTTGCGAACCAGGAGAAAAGACTGGTTTTGATGAGGCGCCTTGTTTCAAATTTGACCTGTTTGCTCCCCAGCGCGGTTGTCGTCATTTTGGTGGTTCCCTGGTAAATCCACCAAATATAATATACGGTTTTGCGGTAGCAATAGTTTCACATCGTGGGTTCCATGGCGACCTTTGATGACTTTGGTCAGTCCAATGCCAGGTCCTTTTGCTTGAGCCATAATTTCACATGGGGTCCCACTAAAGCCTCTGATGGCTTTGGTCAATCTCACGCAAACCCTTACAATATAGGTGTGTGTGTGTGCGCAACAAAATCCTTTGACTCTCGTCGAAACCTTCGATGGTTATCTTAATTGTTGATGGTTTGGCAGAAGCCTCAACACACACACACAACCAAAAGTGCATTCAAAATCGGATCGAGCTTCCCTCCCGAATCTGCGAGAAATCAAAACAGGCTTTTAAACTTCATGAGTTCCCTGCAGGAATTCGAGCAAAGGAAAGCGGTGCTGGGGGATGAACCTGAAGCCCTCACCGCCGAGCCTGCACTGACTGCAGATGATGAGATCGAGGTCGTGGGCGACACCAGGCCTGAGGAGCTCTCGCTGCAGCAGCTGCAGCAACGCTTGCTCCGTCGGACACAGCAGTTGGAGTGCTTAGGTTTGTGATTGGCATACGTTGGTTGGCTGTGATTTTGCTATATGGCAACAAGCTGGTTGCTTCCAAT